GAGCTCAAAAACAACTCCTGCATCAACACAGAGGAAGAGAGGGAGAGAGGAAATGAGAACAAGAAGTCTAAAACAGAAGCTGTAGTGAATATATGAATTAACATGGATCTTCAGTCCCCAACCTCCCCTCCTGAAGTTAATTGCGTCTTCATCCCCTTCTCATTCTGTACCTCAGTGATGTAGCCCTTCTCAATTTGTGAAGCCCCTCCCCAATCTTCCCCCCTCCCCCGAACCCTCTGAAATCCCCTTTCTCTTTCAAACAAGCTCCTCTATACTCTTCACAGATCATTTTTTCTACCTCTGGATTTCTGCTAAACACAACACTTTATTTCTAACAATTCTACTAGGAGGCTGAAATTTCTCTTTCATACCCCTTTCCTAAAATCGACAAAAGGATTTCCAAGAATTCAATTTAAATTTAAAATTTTGCAAAAATATGGTTTCCTATTCTTATCAATGTTACATCACCACCACTTTGACTTCCCTTTACATCATTAAAACATGTTCTGGAAAATATAGAACCAGATGGAGAGTAGAAACTGATGACAAAGAGATTAGTCAAAGAAAACTGAAACAGTTCATTAAAATATGAGAATTTAAATTAAAGCAATGGCAATCAGGGAGTAAAAGCCAAAATTAAAGTTTAGATGCCATTCCACTCTCAAACTCTTTTTATCTTTATGTGTACCTTAACTGGAATTAATATCAAAAGCATCAATTTTCTTAAGATAGTAATAGAAGTTCCAACATCACACACTCTATTTTTACTCAGATACTGATTTATCAAAATAAGGCAGGTCCCCTGTAGTGTTTCCACAAGTTTATCTGCAGTTGATACCATGATTAGGACATTGTGACAATAAGGAATGTTACCTGAAATGCCAGAAAACAAGTTTTCTTAAAAAAAATCCTAACTGAAGGTAGTAAACTCAAATGCCCCTTGAAAATATTTTTTTAAATAATAATAAAGAGGATGGGAGGAAACTTTTGAGATTATAGATAGCTTTATGGCACAGATTGTGCTAATACTTTCACAGACGTATACTTACCTCCAAACTCATCAAGTTGTATACATTCAATAAATACAGGTATTTTTTTTTGCATCAATCATACCTCAAAAAAATAAATAATTGTACTTTTAAGGACCTGAATTAGTATCATCAAAGATCCACTGAAGTTACAATTTGAAAAAATCACTTTTCCAGTGATCTTCATGCAGATCACAAAAATGCTGACTGGCTATAGGATCATGCTGTTAGGTTGCTATAGACCTAGTCAAATGTACTCATATCTCCACATTTCTCACCACTCCATCAGATGGGATGGCCCTTTTTTAAGACCCAACAACCTACCTTAGGGAATTCACTGTGATATCTGATAATATCTTCCTCAAGTCAAGCTGTTCTGATGGCACTGGTGACGGACCTTTTCATCAATCATTGTGATAACTACTGAAAACATCTCTGGCAAATACCAACTCCACCCATTCACATTCTAGTTTCATTGTTGTCTCTACTGCCTCCACTTTGGCATATGCCAAATACACTTAGGCAGAATGGAGCACTTCTTTTTTTTTTTTTTTTTAATTTTTTTTTATTCTTATGTTAATCCCCATACATTACATCATTAGTTCTAGATGAAGTGTTCCATGATTCATTGTTC